GTTGTTACCAACATCTGGTGAAAATTTCATGTCATTAGCACCTCTAGTAATATATTTACTGAGAAAAATGTTGACGTGTTCAATACTTATTTTATTTATTTTGTTTATCCCTATTGAACTAACACTGACAATGATAAGGCGTGAATGGAATTATGATGGAATCTCAAATGAAGCTTTAAAAAACCTCAAAATGTGTCAGTCCCTTTAATAATCACTGATTAATCCATAGGTCTTATTAAGGCATGGCCCAGCAATCATACCAACAAAATTCAATGAATAAACAGAATCATGATACAATCAAACACGACTGCTTTATTGCATTTTTATGTGAGTTTTTTTGACAGTGTATTTATTCAACACCCAATCCCCACTCTAACTCAGTCAGTTGTACAAACTTTGAGCTAGAATTTGATGTGGTGGTAGCTGAATCATCCACAACACATAATTACAGCGGAACATTTTGTAATATCCCAGGAGACAGTTATTCACAAGGTAGAACCAAAACAACAACTCATATTTCTCACCACCTTTAACTTTGGCATCAAAGGAGGCAGTTGATACACTTTCCATGTATGCGATGTACGTCTTCGAATACATTTTGGTAGCTTAATAATGAGAGGTTCATGTTCATTTTRGTGTGTTCTTTTTCGACAAACATGCATGAGGTCATGAAAGCAGGAACTGCTTACACAATCATTTCAGATTTTGGTCAGAAAAATGTGTTGCAACTCAGCTTTTTTTCTGTCTTTATGATTCAGAAACCACTCCCATTGGTATTATAAGGAGTTTATCAGAAGACAATCTGCGGTGCCTCAGTTTTGTCTCGTATCAAACCCACAGACCACCAAGCCACTTGGCCAGTGGTGGGGCCACAGAAACGTTAAATCTATTTTTAGAAGTTGCGACGAATCAACCCTGGTGTCATTTATAACTGCATTAGACAATCAGATTATAGTTGGAGCGCATGAGTTCATCACACATTAAAGTTGTGGAAAGTTCTGCTGCATCACCCTCCTGTATAGAGCTCAACCTTGACCCCTGAAAAGCTGCAACTGAGACCTCCTGAGGACAAAGAGATCCATAAAATAATCTGATCGGACTTCATTTTTCTGGAGGATTTTGCTGACTCCAAATGTTAATCAGTTGTAGATTAACACCCAATCACCACTGAGGGTTTCACTCAACTTTACTGAAAACCATCTGAAAAGATAAGCGTCAGTTTTCTACACATTAGGTTAAACTTTCAGAACACTTGGTGATCGGCGTCAGGATCCGCAGACCGTATAGACTCGTGACTGTTTCCCTCTTGTTGAACTCTGTTGCAACCTCTTACAGAAAACCAAAAATCACCGACTGATGAGCTCACTTGAATCATGGGACTTAAGCTTAAGCTAGTAAGCTTTTATTTTCCCTTTCATACTCTCTCCCAGTTGCACACGTCTTGGATAAACAGTGGAAATAACAGCTCTCTGTGTAAACAAAGCGTTCAAAACAGTAGCCGTCACTCTGATGGGAACAGAACTCGTAAAATCAAACAGCATCACGGTCTGGTTTTAGCACGGTGATGTGATTACTGAAATATGATGACGGCTCAGTTTTCATACGACGGGAAGTGAGAAATAAAACATTTGATGGGTAATTTCTTTCATGAGAGAAYGCTTATCACCTGCAATTACATTTTGGGAAATGACAACTTTTAAATCACTTTGGTCCAATTTTGTAAATAATGTCATTTGCAATCTTAGGTGAAATTATGAATGACTCTCAGCTACAACACCACCAAATTTGAACTCATCTATAAAACTGATTGAATTATAGCCAGTTTAGTGTTTTCAAAGTAATATCCAAGATGTATATTCAATGATTATTACCTAAAAATAACATTAAAATCCATCCGTTGTTTCAAAAAAATTTTTTGCAACATCAACAACTTTTGCCTTTCCAGAGTTGGAGATCATAAAATAAAAGCACACCCTCCAAAATAAAAGTAATAATCAAACAAACTTAAAACAAATAAATAAGTAAGTAACCTTAATGTTGCTTGCACGTATACAGTAACAACAAATGCTCCCATCTCAGCGGTGTCAGAAATAAAGCTGTCATCATATACTTAAAGTAGTAATCATCGGCTTGCGTCGCAAAGCTAAGGGCCTCTTTTCCCCTTTTAGCCGAGGTATGAAGGCTCCGGTTACTGAGACAGATGGGTCAGTGTATCTTTTGGTCATTGGATTTTCATTTTCGAAACGGGCATTAAAAAACAAGAATCGAGTGGATAGTTGATTTTTGTTTTAAAATACTGGAATTAAAATTAAAATACAATGCCATTCTCATTCTTAGTGTCAAAAAGGGATAAAAAATGATTTGAGTTTCATTTTCTGTTTCAGATAGCAAAAAAGAAAATTACTTTAAAACAGAAACAGAAAAAGGCTTGTGTATTTGTATTCTACGACTATCTATTCCCCCACCAGAGAGGGAGCTCACCWGGCAGCTCTGCAAAATGAAACACTAATTTCTGTAAATAAAAGGCTGAAACACASAGAAWTATGTCCATWAATGAGTTGTATGATGACTGTCGCTCGGTGACCGAAGACTTTGCAGAGATACTTCATGTGGCTTTAACCAAATAAGTCTCTTTTACTGAATACATGTCGGCTACTGCCTCCACTTCACCTCCATTTCTCTCAATAAAAAGCAAAATATGACAACTTTCATTAGTGTGTTGTACAGTTGTTGTTCTGTCAGCA